CACCTGCCGCCCTAATGATAAATGCAGAGCCTCATCTTCTTCTGCAACACCGCCAACTGAAGCGCTGATCCCTCTGATGCTCAGTGCTGCCACCTCATGGGGACACCAGGTTACTGCAACTGAAGGAACCGGTGTTCCGTTTGCTCTGGCGCGTTTCTGCAAGTTGAAACCCGGCCTGAGTTTCATGTTGGTCTGGTTTCGTGTCTGGGCTCGTCCTGGGCATGAAGCATGATGGGACGGTCGTTTTGCCCCGAAACGCTCCGCTGAGCAGCTGAGGTGAGATGCGGGTGAAACCTCAGACCCAGAAAGCAGAAGGTTCCTCCTGAATGCTGGGGTCAGGTTCTGTTCAGGAAACCTAAAAAGTTCAACGATGTGATTTTATTTCCGCTTGTTCATCTTATAAAACGTGAAATATCAGGTTATTGTTTCTGCTTTGAGTGGTTGAACATGTTTCAGAATGTTTCACTTGACTAGGCTAGCTAATATTTAGGGGAAGCTAAATAAAGAGCCAAATAAAGAGCGACATGGTAATTGGTTAAGTGAATGCTAAAGTGCATTCACTTGTTCACATGTTAGCTTCTAACTTTAATGTTAGATGCTAATATTAAAGTCCTGTACAAACATGATATTTAGCAGAAGCTAAAAAGCTACAGTACTAATTTCAATTCAAATTATATCACTCCTTTAAAGACTACAACTTAAATTTTAACATTTATAATTTGCTAATAATTTCTAAAACCCTCAGATATTGTTCTATGTCTTGTTGTTTTCTCTGTTTTATTTTGTTTCCATATGTTTCTTGTTTTAAATAGGCATTAGAGGGAAGAGAAAGAAGTCAGAGTAAAGACTTTTTAAAAATGTTTTTGAAAAATATTGGAATATTTGTCTTGATATTTTAGAACAATATTGTGTATGAATGAGAAACATCTCCATCAGAAACTTTGTTTCCTAACAAAAAGGTGAGATTTTGTAAGAAAAATACTTTTTTGTTTGAAAAATGGTCTTACATGCAATACTTTCTAAATTCTAGTGTAGTAAAGATAAATCATTAAATGAGAAATGTTTTTGTGGAATTGAGACCATTAAATAAGGCTTTTATTCTGAAATTTTACCTGTTATGTAGGAATTTGGATTTGATTTAAAACAACTTTATGTTTTATCAAAATTTATCCAAATTCAGGTGCAAATGTTTTCTTAAAATGTAAAATTTAAATTTATTAGCGTATTTAAAATTTTGAGATATTTAACATTTTATTATTTTAATGTAATTAACTTAAACTCAAACCGATATAGTTTTGTATATTTATTTTGAAAGATTTTTCTGTTTTTGCACAGTCTGTGTGTCTGGTCGTTTTCCTGGCGCTCCACATTCCTGCAGCACCTGAAGGCACCTGTGCCAGTTTCAACATGTGAGGAAATGATCAGAGCAGCGCCTGAAGGCATCGTGAAGGAGGATCATCATCAGTCATGGCGGGCAGAGGACTGTCGGACGACGCTGCGTCCGCCGCCTGCTCCGATGGACCCGCCGTCACCAAGGTAACGGGCGCAGCGCGTCATTTCTGCCGGGCTGGAGACCCGGGAACACGCAGCCAGGTTTCATCGCTCAGGCTTTATTGCAGGCAGACGGAGAAACGAGGGAGATTCAGACTCTTCTGGTTTTTTATTTTGTTTTATAAAATCAGGTGTCCGTTACTGGACCCAGTGAGCTCTCTCAGTTTGATGGTATCTGGGATGTTTGCAGCAACATGTTTGCTGAGAAGCCGAGCATAAAGACGGAGTTTCTGTTACCAAAGTTTTCCTTTCAGAGGGAAGCACAGGAAGAGCAGCGATCCGGCTTTATTCCCAGGAAAATCATTGATGGGATGATCAAACTGAAAGGTTTCATCTGGAAATGTAAAAACTCAAACCGAAACCTTTATCTGGTTTTGTTTCTTGTTGTTCTGGACTCCCTGAGACAGAACCGGAGGTCACAGAGGTCAAGCTCATATTGACTGGACCAATCAGCTGACTCCAGACTCACGTCAGCCAATCAGCTGAAGGAGGAAGTGAGGCAGTACTGTTTGGAGAAGGACGCCGTCCTTTTCGTCCAGTCGGGTTCCTTCCAGAGAAACGCCTCTGCAGACAGGAACTCCTACGATTGGATGGAAACGGGTCCAGTCCAGAAGTAGGCCTGTCCCAATAACCAATTAAACGCATCATAAACGAAAATAAGTTCAATAATTTCTCATTCTACCAACAACTGGATTCTTAATGGGCTCTTTGCACCTAAGGCGTTGACGTCACATCTCCAGGAGCTAATGCGGCTCACTTGTTTCCGCTTTGAGTTTCCATGA